AACAAAAATATTGTTGATGATACAACTGGAAACATTTGGATACTAACTGAATATTTGATGGTATTAAAATTTTGGTCATTCTTTTAAAGTTTGATGTTACTGTGGTTATGTTTTGTTTGGTTTTAAAGGTCTTTATCTCAAAGAGATAGATGGTGAAGAAAATGCATGAAATGATGTCACTTATGGGTTTTTTGCCAAAATAATCATTAGTGTTGTGGGAATTGGGGGGGTAGAAGTGGGAGGGTGGTTGAGGGATGGGGCAGGAGGGTAGGCTGTGGAGGAATCCAGATCTGGGCTGGGTGATGAGTGCATGAGACTTAATTTTACTATTTTCTCTAATTTTGTATGTCTGAAAATGTCCGTAATAAAAAAAGGTGGAGTTTTTAAAAAAATATTTTATTTTTAAGTAAACTCTACACCCAACATGGGGCTCACATTCACAGCCCCGAGATTAAGGATCACGTGCTCCACTGATCCGAGCCAGTTAGATGCCTGAAGGATTTTTTCTTTTTTTTTTGAGCAGCAAATTTGATCCTTCAAAATATTTGAAGATATAATTCACTTAATAAGCATTTCAGGGGTGCCTGGCTGATTCAGTCATAGGACTCTTGATCTTGGGGTTGTGAGTTCAAGTGTGGAGCCTACTTAAACAAAATAAACAAAAAAAACAAGCATTTCATTAAACATTTGTGAGCACTTACTGTGCTTAGCACTTACTTAGCACCACTAAGCCACCAAAACCGATCAGTCAAGATACTGCCTCCTTGAAGCACATGGGCTAGTGGCAAAGAAAGCCTTTACACAAATGAAGTATAAGGAGAAAAGCCTGCTATTTGCCACAGAAAGTAATAAGCTTTTCATCTAGGACAGTTTCAGGGAAGAGTGTATCTTTGTGGAATCCACTGCCACCCAAAAATGACTGAGAGCTTTACCCAGCATCTACACCTAAGTGTCCCAGAACCTGACGTAATTAATATAGGTTTGTACTTGTGCGGAATATATGACCTCAAACTCTCTGAAAAAGTCTCTGTATTGGTGGCTGCAGCTTTCCTGACATTACAGAGGTGGTCAACTTCGTGTCTCTACTTCAGAGTTCTTAGCCAGCTCACGTAGTCATAACAAAATCCCACAGACTGGGTGGTTTAAACAACAGACATTTATTGCTTACAGTTCTAGAGGCTGGGAAGTCCAAGATCAAGATGTCAGCCATTTCAGTGTCTGATGACAGCCCTCTTCCTTGTTCGCAGACAGCAGCCTTCAGCTGTGTTCTCACTTGGGGAGAGGGAGTGCCTCCATGTCTCTTCTCTAATCCCATCAGGAGGGCCCCTTCCTCAGGGGTCTCACTTACACCGAATCTCCTAAAGATGCTGTCTCCAAATATTATCACACTGGGGGGAAGGGCTTCCATAGGAATTTGAGGGGGACACAATCTGTCCATAGGAGTGGTCTACTTCATTGTGTCTTCAAGATGTGACCCACAGACCAATGATATCAGAATCACCTGCTTTTAAAAAATAATCAATATCAGGGCCTTAGGTGGCCCCATTGGTTACGCGTCCAATTCTTGATTTCACCTGAGGTTATGATCTCACAGTTTGTGGGTTTGAGCCCCTCGTTGGGCTCAGCACTGGCAGTGAGCAGCCTGCTTCGGAATCTCTTTCTCCCTCTCTCTCTCTCTACCTCCCTGGCTTGCACACGTTCTCTCTTCTCTCTCTCAAAATAAATAAACTTAAAAAAATTTTTTTAATACTCAGTATCAAAAACGTTGCTCCAGATTCAACAGGGCCAAGCTGGGCGCTGGCACCAGACTATTTTAATAGCTTCTTGGTCATTTTCTTGAACCTCCTTGGTGAACCACTGACTGAAAATTGGCCAAGCCATTAGGGGCACCCATCCCTGGGGGAAGGAGCAACTTAAACATTATGTTTTGTAAGGTCAGTATTTCCATGCCCCAATTTCTTTTTATTTTTAATTAAAAATTTTTCCATTAAGTTTCTAGTTTTAATTCTAGTATAATTCATTCTAGTAGAGTTCTGTTAGCTGCAGGTGTACAATATAGTGATTCAACAGGGCTATATATTACTCCCTGCTCATCATGATACGTGTACTTTTAATCCCCTTCACCTATTTCAGCCAACACCCCCACCTCCATGCGGCAATGCCTATCTTCTAGTTTTGATTTTAGATGTATCTTGCATTTCTTTTGCTTTCATAGTTCAAGGACTGATGACCGACAAACCTCCTGACGCTGGGTCCTAGCGCCCAACCTTCTCTCCTTGGCAGATACTAATTCTTCCATGTGTCATAATCACCCACATCTGAATATGCTCACTGTTTTGTACTCATCTGAGTTAATCCAGTTTAGGCTTGTGTTGTTTGCTTTGGCTGAAGACTTTGGAAAGCAGCAGTGAAGTTTTGGGATTTTTCTTTTCTTTCCAGAATGAGAAAACCCTTCGTCAACAGAGGCCTTTAGTATTTTAATTCCTGGCCTTTCAACTTCACTTAACATCTTTGCCCCCACTCAAGAAAAGGAGAATTTTCTGGAATTTTCTAGAATTCTAATTTCTAGAATTATACACATGATTTATTAGAATGTAAATTCGTCCTAAAACTGTGACTTTCCTGTGGTTCACTCAAATGTGCAGTGCATTTCATGGCATTCATTACTTTCTTTTCTTTTTTTAATGTTTATTTTTGAGAGAGAGAAACAGAGTGCAAGTGGGGGAGGGGTAGAGAGAGAGGGAGACACAGAATCCGAAGCAGGCTTCAGGCTCTGAGCTCTCAGCACAAAGCCTGATGCGGGGCTCCAACTCATAGACCATGAGATCATGACCTGAGTCGAAGTTGGACGCTTAACAGACTGAGCCACCCAGGTGACCCAGGATTCGTTTCTAAAACACTTTTAGGTCTTGGAATGGGTTTCAAGCTGATTTTTAGGTCTGTTGAAACTTTTGCTCCTTCCCCCTTGTCTTGCCATTGCTGGCCTTCCCTGCTTCAAACCACCAGCCTGAAAGGAGTGTCTTGTCTCCTGTGTGCCAGGCATATTGAATGTCCCCATAAAGGGCAAATGCACTTTCCCTACCTTTATGATTAAAATGCAGATGGGGAGACAAGAGAGTATAAAACAATATAAAGCAGTATATATAGGAATGATCATGTTCCAAGTAGTGCCTTTATTGGAATCCATATTAGTCTGCCGGTTTCACTGACTAACTAGACTGGAGTGGTTGGTTTTCTTCAGCTCTCTCTGACCAAGCATGTGAGCTGTTGGAAAAAGCAATCTAGCACCTTCTCAGGGGCCTGTGAAACTACCTAAGCTTTGTATGAACCAGCAGGAAAGAGAAGGAAGCATCCATGGCCTTTTGGTCACCAGAACTTGTGCACAAAGCTTAGGCATCACTGGAATACTTTACTGGGAGAGAATCTGACTTCCAAGCAGTGCTTGGGAAAAGCCACGGCCAGGGAGGCTCCGCACCCTTCTCCCCTTTCTCTTTCACATCAGTCACGGCTGTTATGTAAGCTCGGTCACTCTTTCCCTTCCAGCTCAAGTCCACTCATCTGGGAGCACCTTTTCCTAGCAAGCCAGCCATCAGTAACCTCCGCACTGTAAAGTCTGCAGTGAGCCTTGTCACTAATGCAGGTCTTTAAGTCACATCAGGTACTGCCCAAAGCATCCTTAGCTCTCAGGTGCATTTCTTTTTTTTCTTTTAAAATTTTTTGGTACATTTCTTTTTAAGCAACATTTAATGATTCCCGGAGTGCCTGGGTGGCTCAGTTGGTTAAGCATCTAACTGGCTCAGGTCATGATCTCACGGTTCCTGAATTTGAGCCCCGCCTCAGGCTCTGTGCTGACAGCTCAGAGCCTGGAGTCAGCTTCAGATTCTGTCTTCCTCTCTCTCTGACCCTCCCCCACTCACACTCTGTCTCGCTCTCTCTTTCTTTCAAAAATAAATAAATATTAATAAAATTAAGCAACATTTAATAATTCCCAAAGTCTGAGAAAGCAAAACCATACCCCAAGGCCCAGAGAATCTGAGAACTGGCCAATTCATTTTGTCTTTGTTACTTTTTTTAAAAAGTTTATTTATTTTGAGAAAGAGCATGTGCGAACAGGGGAGGGGCAGAGAGAGAGAATCTGAAGCAGGCTCCGAACTGTCAGCCAGGAGCCCAATGCGGGGCTCGAACTCACAAACTGTGAGATCATGACCTGAGCGGAAACCAAGAGTCTGACACTTAACCGACTGAGGCACCCAAGAGCCCCCTTCTCTTTGTTTTAAATAGCTAGCTCCTCCCACCATTTCAAAGCACTGGCTTTCATTCTTGGCATTTTCTGGTTTATAACCTGCCAAATGCACAGCATTGCAAGACAACACTTCTGGACCCTTGGTCCCCGAGTTAGGCTCTGATGCTATGACCCCCCCCGGCCCCCCGCCACCAAATGCACATTTGATGCTGTACCCTCTGTGTCTTGCTCTTATTCAACCAAGACATAGAAATAAAATAAAATGCCTATTTGGGGCACCTGGGTGGCTCAGTCGGTTGGATGCCCAACTCTTGATTTCGTTGGTTTCAGTTCAGGTCATGATCTCATGCTTCGTGGGTTCGAGCCCCGCATCAGGCTCTGTGCTGACAACATGCAGCCTGCTTGGGATTCTCTCTCTCTCTCTAAAAAATAAATAAACATTTTTTAAAAAAAAATGCCTGTTTGATACTCACTTATTCCCGTTGGGAAGACAGCTGTGAGTGGTAAGGGAGGTACTTTCCTAAGAGACACATCTTAAAGGTGCAGAGGTGCAGCTGGAAATTTGCCTGCTGGCCTTCCAGACAGAACTGTTGAATGTGCTCTTATGCCTTGTCCACTAAAAGCCTCTTGGGAACTCTTTGAATCGTAAGTCAAATTGACACAGAATCCAGAATTTCTATATGCTTAGTGTTGCTAGAAACCCAGGCTTTCTGTCTTTCTTCCTGCATAGATGCTTTTTTGCCTAATTCACTTAAGTTTAGCAGTGTGACCAGTATCCCTCAGAAGTGAATGCTTGGTCTGGTAATCTTGTTGTCATGACAACATCTAAGCTTATTTTACCTTTATAAGAACGAGTCAGAAGCACATATTTTATGACTCCATTTTTATGAAGTGTCCAGAATATGTAACTGTGGACAGAAGACAGAAAGTAGATTAGCAATTGCCTGGGGTCTGGGGAAGTAGGGGTGGGGAGATGAGAGTGGCTTTTTATGGATACGGTGTTTCTTTGGGGAGTGATCAAATGCTCTAAAATTGTTTGTGGTGATGGTTACACAACTCTATGAATATACTGAAAATGGCTGAGTCATACATTTTAAATGTGTGAATTGTATACAAATGTGGATTTTATCTCAATAAAGAGGCTATTTTTAAATGCACAGGCAACACTGAGCTGGGTGTGTACTTGAACTTGTCCCAGTGAAGGAGAAGAGTCTAGGCTCTTATCCTGTCTGCCCTTACTGTATACACAGTTTCTGTCTGGGGCCCTTTTATGGTTGCATTACAGTTAGTGAGCAACAGTTAAGTCAAAACCTACAAAGGCCTTGGTTACAGCTTACCCTTGTTTTTGATCCACAGTAACATGACTGATGTCACTGTAGCACAACTCAGCCGCACACAGGGATTCAGGAAGTTCTGGAGAAGTGCCGGCAGCTAGTGGAGGTGGCCGGCTGGAGACTGGCTCTTTAGAGAGACAATGGTTGGCTAGACCTGAGCTCCAGGGGAAGGTGTTGGTACAGGCTGGAAAAAATGTCTTCTCCTGACCTGGACATGGAACGTTGCTATGGAAGGAATCCTGGGGGAAAAAAGAGTTCTCTAGCTTGGCCCGAACATACAGACTGGGGAATTCCTGAGAAGAGCTCATTTTGAGCCCAATATTTCTCTAACTTCTAGCCCAGCACCTCTCTTCCACTTCACTCCTCCATCCCCGACCCCCAAGGGAAACCATAGCAGATTGGGAGGATGGCGATGCTTGTAGGAGGAGGGGGGAAACACCTGTAGTGAGGTGACTGTAGAGCACGAGAACGTGCGACATTTCTCCCATCACTTAGTAACAAAGCCCTATGGTGTGTCAACTCACAGGGCCCAGAGAGTTGGTTAAATTTTTTTCTGGGTGTTTCTGTGAGGGTGTTTTTGGATGGAATATACATTAAGTCAGTGGGCTTTGAATAAAGCAGATTGCCTTCCATAATGTGGATGGGCCTCATCCAAGCAGTCGAAGGCCTGACTAGAACAGGCCTTCTCTGTGTAAGAGGGAATTCTACCAGCAGATTGCCTTCATTTGCAATACTGGCTCTTCTCGGCTTGCTGGCAGAGCCTTTACATTCGAACTGTAACTGTTTCCTGAGTCTCCAACCTGCTGGCTTCCCCCTTCAGATTCTGGGCTTGCAAAGCCTCCACAATGGCATGAGCACATTCCTGAAAATAAATTTCTATATATATATGTGTCCTATCCTGTTTTCTGGAGAACCCTGACTAATACAGGCCCATACTTCTCTGGCTTCAGGAGGGACACTTGGAGCAGAAAGAAAATATTGCTCTGATCTCACCAAAAGGAGACTGAAAGACTTCCAACCAGGGAAAGGAGCTTCTTGAGTAGGAGGTGAGGCCTCCGTGTGGCAATTTAGTGAGAGCATAGCTGGTGAGAGAGCCATGTGAGAAGCATGTGAGTCTCCAGCTTGAAGAGGGGGTTAGGAGACCCGTGTCTGTTGACGTGCCCATGGCTTATGGATCTTGGAGAAACGTGGGCTTACTAACATCCCAAAGCAAGCCCTGCCTGCCCGGTCTTCATATAAAAAGTGCTTCTCCTGGGCGGGGGGTCAGTCCCAGGTTGGCTCTCCAGGCTTGGAAGGGGTTGCTTCAAATTTCTGTTCTTTGTGGACATAGCTAATCAACTTCTTGTTAGGCAAAGACAACAATAGATATGTCCACGTTCAGCCTCAGGAGCCACCTCGGCTGGCAGAAGCTGGCTCTTGAAGCTTCCCTAACAAGTAACAGCAGTTCTCGAGAGTCCTCATGCACACAAGATCATGCTTGGCAGTCAACATGCTTAACATTCACTTGATTACTCTTCCTACAAACTATAAAGTTCTTTGAAACATACAGACAGACACATGTATACTCTGAAACAAGACTCATGCTGGTGAAAAAAAAAAAGTGGAACGAGAAAGGGGCTTGATATTTAGGACAAAGGGATAGGAGCTCCCCATGAACAGTGTTACACAAGAGAAGGTGTGGAGGAGGAAATGGGGCAGCAGAGAGCAATGCAAAGGCCAAGGCCAAGTGAAACAGGAACATCAGCCAGGAAGCACGTGGCTTGGTCTTTGAGACATTTCCTTCAAGTTCCCTCTTGCCCTCAAGCCTAACCAGGGTTGGGATGGTGAATGCTCTCACCTCTGAGCGTCTGAGACATGCACTGTCCACACTGCTCCTTTGGCACATGGCATGGTTTTCTGGAATCATAAGCGTTTCTGTTCAACGGTCCTGACTCTTCAGTTAAATGTAAAGGCAGACTTTTTCTTTCTTCTTTTTGGAATAGTATGTTCTTAGTTTAAGAATAGGTTCTAACTCGGGGCACCTGGGTACCCTAGTCGGTTAAATGGCTGACTCTTTGATTTTGGCTCAGGTCTTGATCTCCCCATTTGTGGGTTCAAGCCCCGCATCAGGCTCTGCGCTGACAGCGAGGAGCATTCTTGGGATTCTCTGTCCCCCTCTCTGCCCCTACCCGACTCTCTCAATAAATAAACTTAAAAAAAAATTGGTTTTAAGCACAAGGGAAATTATTACAGGGAAGTTCATGCTTGCAAAACAGTTGGAAGTACCGAAGGAACAGTCATCTAGCCTGAGGCTTCTGGAATGCCCACCTGAAAACCAAAGAACTGACTTGCACTCGCTCTTCCCAGGAGCTACAACCTCTACCCACATTAGGAGGGTGAAGGATCTAGAGGCCGCCGCTGGAACTACAGAGCCCATGAACACACTGGTGTTGCTGTACTCAAGAAATGTGGAAGTTGGGATCAGGAAACCTGACCAGCAAGCCTAGAAAAGATGGCTGATGGCCTCCGCCTAATTCTCTCTTCTGACACTTGCACAATCAGGAAATTGCACATCCACAACTACAAAGGAGTCTGGGAGATGTAGTTTTAAGCTTTCCAGCCTCTGAAACACAGAAAGGCACCGCAGGAAGAGGCAGGAATGGATATTCATTGCTAATGAATTTCCAACACAAGTAGTGGTTGTCACTGAGGTGTCACCCTTGCCCTGGCTCGGGAGTAAACTTGTGCTCCCCTGCACTCAAGATCCAATGCTCTCCAGTCTCCACTCTCTCTCCACCACGTCTCGTGCCACTAGAGGTCCAGGGCCCCACCCACTTCTCAAAGGCTGGTGACATCAAGCATGTTTCAAGGAGGGCTTATGCAAATGGAATAGAGAGGACAGAAACCCAACAGTTTGTCATGCCCACCGGGCAATGGAGAAAGCCTGGTTGCTGTGAGGTGGAGTCCTCACCAGGCGCCTGCCAGGTGCGGAGTTTTGCTCCCACTCTTGATGCGATCTCCTACAAAAATCTGTTGCCTGTCAGTGCTCTTCGGTCCACCGAAGGCCAAGACCAAGACTGTTTTCAAAGGCTGCCTACACCCCAGATCTCCTGAGAGGGCTTGTTAGGACACAGACTGCCGGGTCTGGGTGGGTCCCAAGAATTTGCCTTTCTAACAAGGACCCTGGTGACACCGGGGTGACTCTGATGCTGCACTTGCAGAACCATTGACGTGGGCTTTGAAACTCCACAATTCTGTGCTTTCTGGTCTCAGTCCCCATCCCTTAGGTATGAACAAGGAATGGGTGAGTTCTTCAGAATGGGGAGATGGGACAATGGGAACAAAAAATTTGGGAGGGGGGAAAAATCAATGCTTCAAAAATGGAAAAAAATTGCCATCATTCAGTAATAATAATATATAATCCCTTTGCTATGCTTTTAATGTTTGAAAGGGTGGTGCTTAATTGAAAGGCAGACTTCGGGGCTAGGGACCATAGTATGTCCTTTATGCAAGAAATACGATCCAGACTAGGTGTTAAGCACAACAGAAATTAATATGGGGGAATTGGTGCTTGTGAAACAATTAAATCCTTCTTTCCTGGTTTTGCTCCTCCTTCCCTTCCTCTCCCTCATGGACCCTCTTAATCACTCTGCTCGGCCCTCAGTCTTGCTTCTTCCCTCTCTGCTCCTGACAGTCATTGGCTCTATCCGGTCTGCTCCCACGTGGAAGGGCTTAAGCTACTACCTCTAGACACTGTGCTGAGCAGTGTACACACAACATCTCATTTAGCCCTCCTCCTGCCAATCAGGCAGGATGGTATTCTAGCGCTCATTTCACAGATGAGGACTGGAAGGTTCAGAGAGGTCACACCACTAGAAGCTGGGGAGTTCAGGACTGGAGCCCAGCTTTGTGTGGCTCCTGGTTCCAGACCCCTCCCCCATCTTCACGATCCGGTGTCATTTTGCATCCCCAGCCCGCGGGACAGAGACCTTCAGCAGGAGACCTGCAATCACTGTGTGTGCACTGGTTCCCTGGTAGGTGTCGGTCCCTGGGCCAGAGCTTTACGGGACGTGTCACTCATGGTGGGGATGACAGGACCACGTTTTCCATCTGGGAGTCTCATTCCCTGTGCTTGTTCATTTCTGGGACATTCTTTTTGAAAATGAACTTGGTGGGAACTTAGGTTTTATTCCAAAAAAATCCCACAAAATTTCCAGCAAACCCCAAATTGTGTAGATTGGAGGGAGGAAGCATGTTATTTTTTGGCAGAGAAAGTCTGGCAATAAATGTCTAAAAACATAATAAAAGTGCTTTTTAACATCCTGTTTTCCCCCTTTTGTTGATTTTTGGACATTTCTTCCCAACCAAGGAGTTATGCAACAAGATCTGAAAATTGCCAAACTTTTATTTTATTGGTAGTTTTATTTGATTCCTTCTCTGTTTCTGTGTGTGCACCTTATCTCTCTGAACCTTCACCTAGGAATTGAGGTGACTTTATAGCACTCTGAGAGTGGCCCAGAAACCACATGGGGCTAGATAACAGTTTTCTAACTGCGAAAAAAGCAAAGCAAAGTGAAAAAGCTCTGAAAAGCTAACTGGAGGCTATCAAGCTCATACATGATCTGTTAGTGGGTAGGTAAGCTTTGAACCTAGGAATATGGATATGTGATCACTGGTTCTTGCTCTTCTCCCTGAATCCAAAAATTCAAATCTCCATGTCTTTCTGAGTGTCTTCAAAAACTTCCATTCCCCATATCCCATGAAAACCAGTCTGATGCAGGGGTTGGGAGTGTAGACGCTACAAGTAGACCAAATATGTATGTCTCCAGGTCTTATTTCTGCCTCTTCCTAGCTGTGTGATCTTGAGCAAGTTACTTGATTCAGCTTCCTTATCTGTAAAATGAGGCTGATAGGGTTAGGGTTGATAGGGTGATTAAGGTGGATTGGAAAAGTTCATACATATAAAATGCTTACTTTAGAGTAGGTGCTGGTGTGTAGTAAATGCTCAATTAAAGTTGCTACTCTTATTGGTGTTGTATGAATTAGATCACTATGTGTGAATACTTCTATGAATACCTTGCTGGTTTCCTGAGCAGTAATGGACTCACTAAGTCCTAGCCAAAGATGTGTCATAGCAGCAATTCCTGTAGAACAGCTTGTGCCTTGTAAGCAACATTTGCCATCGTTTTATTTTTTATTAACTTTTTTTTATTATTTCTGTGAGAGAGAGAGAGAGAGAGAGAGAGAGAATAGGGGAGGGGCAGAGAGAGAAAGAGGGAGAGAAAATACCAAGTAGGACCCACATTGTCACCACTGAGCTGGATGTGGGGCTTGAACTCAAGAACCATGAGATCATGACCTGAGCCCAAATCAAGAATCAGATGCTTAAGCTACTGAGTCATCCAGGTGCCTCATCATCCTTTCAGTTAGGTCTCCTTTGCTGCTTCACGTCAGAGATTAAAACACAGAGACGAAAGTCACACATTCAAGCCGTCTACCTTGCTATCAGCTCTGCTGTGAAATCGGACTCTTTCCTTGTTTCCATCCCAGTCCTGGCCCACCCATTAACTAGCTGTGTGATGTGGGACAAGTTACTTCACTTCTCTAAGCTTCAGATATCAATAGGACAACTAAAGGCCTAGGCCAGAACCCTAAGATATGGGGCTTCCTAGATCCCAGGGCAACCCGCACAGGCTCAGAACTGATGGGTGACACACTCAGGTGTGAAGTTCGATCATTGCCACTGAGCCCTGTCTACCAGCAGTGGAGCCAGCTGGAGCAGCGGAAGCATGGGTGGGAGAGGTAGAGCAATGATCCATCCTTTCCATTCTATTGCTGGGAGGCAGCAGAGTTGAGATTCTGCACAGCCCGAGAGCCCCCCTCCCCGGCCCGCCTCCAAGCTCCCACCCCAAACATAGTGTCTGGGAACGGACGTGGAGGCAAAGTGAATATTGACAACACTTGGCTCATGTTTAAGAGTACTTAGCTTGTGTGATACTGCAATTCACAGTAAGAAATATATATATTTGGTCTTTGACCTCATTCCTGGTGCAGTACTCCTAACCCC